GAAAAACAAAAATCACAGCTCACTTCTGGGGTTCTTTCTTATTTTGTCAAAGGCATTTTAATAGAATTATTCTGGTATTCTGGTCTGATATTAAATCACAGCCAAAATATCAGCTACAAGGAAAAACCCTCATTTTATACTTTTGAACTGACAGTAGCTCTAAGCACCCAAATAATTTTACTTTTTCCATTTAATGTATGCTCTGTAGTTCTAGAAAGATGAGTTAAGCATTTTTGTTCACATACAAAAAGACAGTCTAACAGATGTAAACTATTTATTGAATATTTGCCACCAATATTGTTAAATACATAATCTTGCAGTTTTCCGCTTTCAAGTTAAAATGTCAGAAACAGAAACACCAAATATTTACAATTCTTATAAGGAATGTTACATAATGACACATTAAGGCGTAAATTCTTTTGGCTTATAATTCTGAAAAGAATGATAATAGCAAAAAGTGATGCAAAATCTTCATCGTGAGATTATGATTAAGCTACAATGTTTTACAAAAATATGGTGTAAGATGGCAATAATCCCATTCAAAATCCTGCATTAGGCCCCTCAAGAGGGACTGATAATTTATACAGTCAAAACTTTAAAATTTACATATAAAGGTACCCTATCCACCATTGAAAAGTACAACTCTCCACATATACAGTTTTCAGGCCACAGTTTTGAAGGTCTGGAGTATCAAGTTGGTTTGATGAATTAGTCGGTTGGCACTTATGAACACATTTATTGCCCTGTTAAAAGAGAAAGATATTGCTTCAGATGTTTTTAGAAATATGTCGTTCAATAACTACAGCATTAAGTTCAGGCAACTAAATATATTGGCATCCAAGCTCTGCAAATCGAAAGTATATTGATGTTCTACCATATTGTGCTCCACCTGAAGCTCACTGCTGGCAAACAGATAGACTTATTTGCATAGCTAATCCTAGAAAGACTGTTTATTGGCAGGAACTTAAAGACTTTGGCTTTCAATCATCACTGACATCTCAATCATTTAATTCTGGGGTTTTAGCTAACTGAGAAAAAAGTGAAGCAGATGTTAAAACATCTCTTTTTTTTTCCAAAGTTGGATACTTTATCCCCATGTAATTTCAGAATTTGTAATTCTTTCCCCAAGAAATACAACAACACACATGGAAGCAACACACCATTTCAGTAATCTTTTTGTGGAGACGTGTGGGGTCCCAATTTTTCAGCTCAATAATGACATCTGTGAGCACGACTATTTCATTTAGTGCTGTCAACTTCTGGTGCAAGCAGAGTTTCTTATTCAGCATGCGGTTCCTAGTTTTAAATCAATTCTGATTCTACAAGGATATGAAATACAAGCCTTACCTGGGATTTCCTGCAGTACTGATAATGCCTAACACTTTAAGCTTATGCTCAAAACACAAAGCATAGCATTCACTTCACGTAGGGCTAAACAAAGCTGGTCTCTTTTGGAACAGTTGTGGTATCTGCACAACACATCCAACCCTTTCTCCACTTTTTTTTTTTAAAATAGCCTTGCAATCAACCGACACCGTTTACATCTAGTTCATGTGAAACCTTATCTATACATCTGTTTGGTAACTGTAAAGCTACAAAGGTCTAAATTTCTCATTTTGATATCATGACTCAATTTAGTCCTAATTTCAGTAAGAGGAGAAAAAAGAATGCTTTGACAGGAGCAAAGTAGTGTCCACAGCTGGTCTCAAAACATCTCCCTCCTTTAGTAGACATGGAAGTTAGTTCTCATTTTTACAACAGTAGCACATGGATAATTCTGGTGCTGTCAAAATGTGAGGGGGACACACTCATCACCCAAACCAGTCACTACAGTGAAATACACATGAACAGCAATTCAAAACCCAGGGTGAAGAGCTGAAAAAAGCCTCCATTCTAAGGCTAAAATGTTCAAATATAAACAGATTAATCAGCTGAATAATTCCAAATCCTGTGAAGCACTGTAAGAAGCTATAAGGAAAGGACAATAAAAATTTAATTCAAAGAAAACACTTCACAGACACCGAGTGTTTGCAAATGATAGTTCAAATAAGTAGATTACTTTTTTCAATAACGCATTCCTAAGTTTTTTTTTTTTTTCCATTGCATATACACAAAAACCACACAGGGCCCTGAAATTTAGCTTCACATATTCAAATTCAAAGCTGATACTGCACATTGGTACTGTACAGTGGTGCATTTAACAGACTTGCCTTTCCTCAAAGGCGTTACAAAAGGAATAAAAGTGTTTTAAAGCAACCACGATAGTCAGAGGACCAGGCAAGGGAAAAATGAGATGAGTCCTGCAGAAGGTAGCTTATGCCCCAAAGTTTATCCTATTTTCCCCTGTTAGTCAACAGTGCCTTTCATTATGTAAAACGTTACTACAAAACCATACTTACTTTCCATCTTTAAAATAGGTTTTCAGAGTATCACTGAAACTTTTGGAGTATTTTACAAATTCTTTCTTTTGGTGCTCAAGTGCCTAAGGAAAAAACACCAGAAGCAGAGTCTTAGTTCACATATTGTGGAGTGCTGTGATAATCTCAAGGTTAAACTGAGAAGAAAATTGGCTTGTATTACATGACATATGGAAATGCTGAATTTCTTTTAGAAGACACAGAAAAATAATCTTTTTCCTATAAACCAAACAAGGCCTACCATACAACAATCCTGTTGTTCAAGTGTTACGTCATAGACCAGTTAAGCTCTCCTATTCATCATAGGATCAAAAAGGACATCCTTCCTCCTAAGTGATTAAAAATATTGCGTAAGAAGCTATTTCACATACCCGCCGGTTCTGGTACTGGTATTTCTTGAAGACATTATTTACTGTGTCAAGAAGTTCCTTTATTGCACTCGCAATGTCCCTGTTTGGCAATAAAAAGATAGCTGTAATATCCCTAAGCTTAAGCTTAAAACAGTCTCTACAGAATAAGTGTCAAATAGGATGCAGCAAGACCAAATGCAAAGAGCTAGACCAACAACACAGGAAGTCAAAGTACAAATTGGCAAGTTGTTTGGTCTAGTGACACGGGGCTCTCAAAAATCCTCAACTCTGACCACTCAGAAGCAGGGATCGGGCTTTAAATAAAGTTTAATTCCTCATCTGCAGGAAAACAGTATAGTACTTACTTGATTGTCTGAAGAAACCTCACTCTGTCATTGATCTCATCAGGAATCTTACTAAGGATCTGTTTAAGTGCTCGTGCCTTTTCATTAAGGTCTTGGAATTCTGGTTCTGGTCTTTCAATCATATACTCTAACAAGAAGAACAGATTTAAAAACAGCATTAATTTCTCCTCAAATCTCCAGTGACAGCTAAAAACACTATATCAAAGCATTGCCATGTTACATTTGAAGGTGAACAGCACAAAGATGTCCACGATGAGAAAAGTGCAGTGAATACACTCTGCATGTAATTGAAACAGTGCAACAATGATCTCTGCTACAGCAAGTTGGGAAAAGAGCCCATCTTAATGTGAGACACTGAAGACACTCAAATATAATACACTTATCAAATGCAGTATTAACTTAAAGCCCACTAAATACTCTCCTTCTCACAGTATAACTACTGCTTTTGATTTGAAGCAGAGAAAAGAAAAGTGAATATACGCCATATATCCTTTTTTCTGGTTGCTAGCATTACAAAGGGTGAATGACACACCCACATAAACAGTTCCAAACATTCTTTTTCTTCCTTTTGTATTAGTCAAGTATGGTTTTAAGGGAGATTTAACTTTGTCAAAAGTGGTATTTGAAAAATATAAATGTTTCTTCTACCGTGCTGAAAAAAAATCTTACTAAGAAACAACCTCATCTGGAAACAGGCACAGAGAAATGCATGTTCCTAGTTAAAAGTGCAGTTAAATACACACTTATTCAACATAAAAGACATTACCTTCTACATCATCAGCTGCCATACGCAGAAGAGACTCTGTGAAGTTCACATCCACACTTTTTTTCTCCAAAATTTTCATAATGATGTCCTGTGTGAGACCTGGATTTTCTTTTTCAGCCTGTAGGGCAAAAAAAATTTTTACTCTTAAATATGCAAGACTTGAACATTGCAAGCACAAACACAGATTTTCACGTAACTTACTTCATCTACTGCAGGAGTTCACCAAAAACTTTAGAAGTCTGATAGCTTTTAACTAGGAGATTACATTGAAAACCATTCCTCCACTACAACAGCCATTTTTCTTGGATTACATCAGTGGTTTTGTATGAGCAACTTTTCCAATAAGCCTTCCCACTCATTTCAATTGGAGTAAGAAACTTCTCCATGAAATTCTATATTCTGTTGTATTTCCATACAGACTAAGCTTTGAGACAGACACTTGAGCCATCAGGACTTAGTTCACTCCAACACAGGTGCTACTCTCCATCTTTTGCATGACATTTCATAAATGTTCCTCTTCTCAATTGCATCATATACTCAAACTTCATCTTGAAATTACTTTAACAGAAAAAAACCCTTTTGATTAATGACATATCTAAGTAAAGCTAATCTGGACTAACACTGGAGGTAGGTATTCACACTACTTGTGCTGCTATCAAAAAATTATGCTGCCTTAAGAATGAGTGTGAGGATTCTTTTTAGCTAGCACTACCATTTCAACCAGTACCTTAGTTTTTACATTATTTGCATTCAGCTGAGCTTCTCATTGTTAGTCATAAATACTTTTAGGTTGTATGAGCTCTAGTAAAGACATAAGACTGTCTAGGTACACAGATTTAAGTGTAGAAACAGGGAAGTGTTACTTAATTGCAAAGTTCACTTTAAAATGTCATGTCTACAATTATTTTTAAGAATTTCAAAGGATCATCACTTCAATAAAGCAGTATGAAGGAATATCTGTATTTTCACTCTTTAGGAATAATATGAAAGTTAGAAGAATCTCTTTCCATTTACTGCTGGATGACAATACAAACATTGAACTTATCCTCAATTATTAAAAAAAATCCCATTACCATTCACTTTAAAACATTTTCAAAGTCTAAGTGCCTATTTCTCATGGGCACCTGTTCTACATAATGTTGTCATATTTAGACTAAGTTTATTATCTTATTACCTTCACTGACAGATTCCTCATTTAAACTTTTGTACTACATTAGCAAGATAAGATTCAGTTTGTTTCAAATTGCTCAGCATGTATCATTCAGATTTCTCCTCGTAACATTTGTGGACATCTGAAACTTTCAGTCCATACAATTATGGACTTTTTAGACTACTGGATCAAGGATGCAGTCTTCAGATACAAGGAAACAAGACAGCTGACTTTTCAGCTTCATGATATATGCTTTACCTTTTAAGCAATCAGTCTCCAATATAAGTTACTTCTCACCTTAATAAAAGCTGCTCTCAGTGTCTGAGCTGCAGATAGATTTACTCTTTCTAGCTGCAATAAAAATTTAGAATTATTAGTAATTCTAATGTTACCAAAACAAGTCAAGTACTCATGCCGTCTCAGAGAGCATAATGAAAAAGGGGATTTACAGAAGTATTCAAGCTACTGGTCTCATTTTAGGTAGAGCTACTATAAAGTTAAATCCCAAAGTAAAAGCTTCCCCTAAAACAAAAAAACCAAAATCAAACATGTCACTGGAAGTATTTTGCATTTATCCAGCCTACAGCACAAGTCTGACAATCTTCTGAGAACATCTTGACAATCTTTAATACTTGCAGAAAAACAAATATCCTATTAGATTATAACTAATAGCAATAAAATTATAATGTATTAAGCTGTTGACAGGTACACGTTCAACTGTATGTTACTTCCTGCCATAGAATGCTGGACCTAGCATTTTTACCAAAATCCTCTGTTAAAGGTAAAAACATCAGGGCCAAGACAAGTAGCAACCTTTGATAAGCATGAAATTGTATTCATGGAAAGAAGGGAATACAATGCATGGAAAAAAGGCAGTGTTAGACACAAAGCTTTCCCAATCAAGATGAACAACCCATAACTGTGCTCATACTTGTCAGCATAAAGGGGACTATTACATTCTAAATGTAACTCACCTCATTAAAGACAGGGTACATAACAGCATAGAGAGGCATGGAAACCATAGAAGTGGTCTCTGCTTCATTCTTCATCTCTTCCATTGTCATCCTCATTCAAAGACCCACTTCTCAAGGAAAACACTATAGAAGCAAAAAACTCCTCATTCACTGAAGCTTTTCTTCTTTTTCCTCGTGGTGCAAGAATAATGGAAGAACTTGTCAAATATATTGTCCTTAAGTTGTGTGAGAAAAAAAAAGAGAGAATTACAAATGCTCATGACAAGTTCTAAAAATAGAAATGCACAGAACATGAGCTTGTTACCACCTAAAAACTAGGAGTTACTTATGACCCAAATTGAGTAAATATGGAATGACTACTTCATGTAACTTCAAAGCTCCAGTTGAAACTATTCAGTGAACAGGTATTTCAAAGAATAAGGTACAACCAAAAACATTTTACTTCAAGTTCTTATGGAACTAACTTTCCTAAAAGCAAAGATTTTATCTGACACATATTACAAAAATCTTGGCACCACTTGTAAGCAGCACCATAAAATTTCTGGCAATCCACATACAGGGAAAGCTTGAAAAGCCTTACATGCTGTAAACCCAAACCCCACACAGACGCATTATGACCACGACCATTAAGAATACCTACAAATACTCCATATTTTTGCATATGCACCAAGCTGTTATTTGGCTGGAGACTAGTCCCTACTTTCTAACCATCTGAATTCCTAATAAGTACGACTCTGGTCTTATATAAGCAGAAGTCTTAAGTCATGTTTCCACTTAAGGTGTGTCAAGAGCTACGTTAACTCAATAGAAAATTATTGTTCCAGTAACTGAACCTAGGTTTAGGAAATTCTCCACCCAGCCCATCTTACCCAGCACGGAGTGATCATTGCTCAGACCCACAGATTCTGGGGTGAATAAAAAAAGTCACTCTACAGCTTACAAAAAATCCTTGTTAGAGCCTGCTATATTTAGTGTTTATAAGATTTTTTCCAAATATGTTACCAGTCATTGAGTTTAAAGACCTGATGTTGAGTTAGGAATAAAGATACAGAGACAGATTAACAGTTTTAACTTTTAGATGTGCTTGGAGTATTTTATGCACTAGAGGAAGTTTCATTTCCTCCTAGCAAGGCTCACACATCAGGCATTTGTAGGTTTGTGTACTGATTTTATTGATAATTCAGTAAGAGGAGGAAAAAAGTGCAATTTTTAACAAACAGCAGAAGCTACTGCAAAAATCAATATCAAAGGTTTGGACAGGCTAAGGGAGTGTCAAGATATTTCCTCAGGCTATGTTCCTCATTATGCTCTGTGCTGGCTAAATATCTTCAGGCTGTTTAAATAGAAGAGCAGATATTCATTTCTGCCCTGGGCAGGTAAATAGCAGTTTAGCTATCATTATACAAGAGGAACATGTTATTGATTACAGTAGGCAGAGAGAACATGGATGATTACAAATATCACACATGTCTCATCTGAGCATGTGATTGGCAGTACGACTAGACCCAAAAATGAGAGAACAAGGGAAGAGCTGGTGACACCATAGAAACAGCCCATGGTTAAAATACGATTTGAAGAAAAATTAAACATGACTACAGGAACAAGCAACAGCTCTTCATACAGGTCTTCTGATGTGGACTACTTATTTCAATATCTCATCTTCATTTCTCTTACTATTCCAACATGACATACATGAGCAGATTCCTAAGGCCACAGAATAGGATCACTGAGAACATAAAAGGGGTCTGTATACATACATCCACATGGGTGGAATTGCAAAAATTAGGACTCTCATTTTTATAACCTACCCATAGACATTTTACAGCTGTCAGGAACATGGAAGAATGCAAGGGAATATTCGCCACTCCTCAAAACGTTGAATATCTTTAAATAACTTGTTTCAGATTTACACAAATTCATGCAAGGTCTACTCACATGGCAGGTGGGGGAACTCGTCTGAACAAGTTTTCACTCACAATTGCAAGTACAAGCTGTCCCATTTATGTGCCTATTGGACGGAGAGCTGTTTGTTTTACTCTTTAACTCTGTGTTTCTGGAAGTTCAGTAAAAAATAGATACTCATACAAGACACTACACTAACAAGCACTGCTGAAGACAGCATTCAGATGAATTTACTGTAGGTTTTTATCTAGAGTATTGTATTCTCAACAAAGTAGGAGTTTAAATGGTTAACTCAGGTCACTGAAAATTGTTCTAGTCTACCAAAAAGATTTTTGATCATAGGAAGAAGGGCAGAGAAGGACAAAATAACCATTAGATAGAATTACTGTTTTATGGGTTAGCAGTATCCACAAAGAGAAGGAAATATTAACTGATATGATGGATTTTTATGATGATGAACACCTATTACACTGTGGACTATCATGAAGAACTCATTTTCTCCTGAAGAGACATAAGCTATTGTTACTAATGCACAGTAAAACCAAACCCCGATATAAAAACAATTACACACTATCTATTACCTCTTCAGCAGACATTGACACTCCTCAAACAAAATACAAAACCTCAGATTTATATTAACACAAAGGACACAAGTATTACAACTGAAGACAAGGGTAGATCTAAGTATCCATACACACTAGAATACATAACATCAAATACTATTGTTGCCAGCATATTAAAAGAAATATATTTGATACATCACTCTGGTTGTTCCGTTACTCCAGAAATCTTCCCATCTTGCAGAAGATAAACTGCTGTCAGGCAAGTATCTGACTGCTAACACTGCCATGCTGTCTTTGCAGCTAGGGATCAACTTCTTCACATATTTCAAATGTTACTTAGATGCACAGCAGTCTGCTACTGTTAAAGAGCAGGGATAAAAATCTTGACAAAAAAACTCACATTTATTTGCATTACAGAGTTTGCCGCAGCTGCACTAAACCACACACGGTCTCGATTCTATCCAAACTAGGGACAAAATCCCCATGAAAACTGATGTTTCTGTTCTATTATTTAGATCAATTATTAGAAAGCCCACTAGCCTTCAAAATGGCCCAATTCAAACCAAAGCTGAGCACATATCATCATGCAGCAACTAGGAACTTTCAGTATTTCTTTTGATATGGGATCAAAAGCAGTCACCTGCATAGCTGCCAAGCTTTATGGCAACACTATCTTCTAAAAGCTTAACTTCAGTTCACTACAACCTCAAAAGGCTCTTTTATTTGAGCCAAGTTTACCCTAGTTTCGTCTGCCAACTGTTTTTTGACATCCTCAAAAAAAAGATGGAACAAGATTCCATGAGATGATCTATTAGAGCAGCACAATGTAGCTGTTCAGAAAACCCTGGCAAACTGTGGCAAGATGCAAAAAAGGTGTTACTCTGCTGGCAAACTTGCTAATTGGTCTGAGGGGGAACAATGAGAAGGTAGCAGGATACTGCCAAATAGTAATCTGTGTGCAAGCCTGATCTTTTCTTACGGTGATCCCATAGACTAAAACCTGTGTATGAGCAATGAGAATCATGCTTCATGCTACATCAGATGAGATCACCCACTGGAGAAAACGTATAGAATCATACAGGGAATTTAAAGAGCATTTAAATTTGAAAACTATGCTAAGATGGCAGTTAAACCAACCCTGCCTGCTTAGTCTCAAACCACCGAACACATGATGTACTAACATGGAGTATATACTTAGATTGTCAGTATGAATCTTACAGTCTAACCTTCAAGTTCCAGCACTAAAATATTATCCCAGTATTCAGCAAACACTGAGAGAACTGGTACATTTTAGATGAGGAACAAATTTGGAAGGATTCTTTGACAGACCTCTTCCCCTATATCCATCCAAGGGCATTTTAAATCACTCAGCTGAACTTTATCAGCGAAGAGATCTTGACCAAAGTAAACTTTCTGTAAGTCAAAAAAGGATAAATAGCTAAAAAACACTACACTCCCCAAAACGTACAGCTACTGTGATCAGTATCTAAGGTATTTGCTTTCTCTAATCTGTGTTTTCTACAGAGATTTTTTGGTCATGGGCTACAATCAAGCAGAAGAAATGCAGAGCAACCTAAGAAGAATAAAACCATCACAATAAAACTACAGAGTGCAGTGACCTTCCCCAAGCCCACCTCTGCTCACCTGACTGTGTGAGAATAATCAAGATATCCACGACAGAAAGGTGTTTAACACTATCTATTGAAACTGTGTTTAGAAAGAAAAGAGTAGAATCTCAGAATTACAACTTTTAAAGACTTCCAAAACAAGAGAAACATCAGTTATCACCTTCAGCCTGTAGTTATGTCATCAGCAGATCCACTTATGCACTGATGTTGTCCCTGTTCCCTCCTTCAGGCTTCATCTACATTTGATCTGGAAAACCCTAAACACTTGGACATTAATACTCTTTTTTAGAAAAGTACTGAAGAGGAATAAAGCCTGAAGCAGTGACCTACCAGAGTAAGTACTTCAATGGTTGGCTTCAACATAAATTACTGCTCTACTCCTACTAGGAAAGGCTATTCTTACTGTCAAGAAGTTCTGCTCCACTTAGTGCAGTGAGGATTCAAGAGGAAGTTTTAACTTCAACCTGATCTGAGACTCCTGTGTTACCAGAAAAACTAATTTAAGTTCAGGAAGAAAGAGCAGGGGAAGGGAAAAAAGCAGCATGAATTCTAACCTGAATTCAGAGGCAAAGTTTGGCTGCTGTTTGTAAGACCAACATGCATGGGAGGAGGGAGTTTAGGTAATTTACTAATTATGGTTGCAAATTTTGCAGAAGAGAAAAAATTGCAGAGTGTGCTCTTTTAACTACACGCATACCCCAGGCACAGCTTGGTAACCAAGTTTCCTGTACTGACAACCACTGAAAGAAATAAAAATCCTCCACTCTCCTTTTCCTTGTAAGCGGGTAGGTTACCTGCCAGCCCTGTCTCGCAGTTACCCATTGCAATTGTCGCCCATCGTATAGCTTAGACTACACAGGGTAGAAAGCTGAAAAGCTTTGTGCTCCAGCTACAGAATTACTTTCCTTTTTCATTTAAAGGAAGGTGACTTCATAACAGCATGGTTAATTCATTGGAATGGCCAATAACAGTCTCTGCATCTTAAAATATCAGTATAGGTAACCAGAAACTTTAAAAAAAGGTGCTCTCTGTGCTGATTCCATGTTCTACTAACTCTAACACAGCAGCTTCCCTGAAGTGTTAATAAAAGGACTGTCAATAGAAAATTGCACTGAAGTTTTACA